TCAAATGGTTCCATCCCTAAAGCATGATGATGTGACTTGATTAAGAATTTCTCGTGTATTCAGCTGTGCCAGGCCTGGGAGGGGGCGACAATCCATCATGTCAGGAAGACAAGCACAAGTACTTTACCATTTGTGCAAACAAATGTTCATCATAAGGTAGCATGGAAACAGGTTTACAGTTTCTTTACTGTTTTGAACTGGACTTTGTGATTTTATCTGTCGTAGTTCTGGTTCTCATTGTCACAGCAACATGTGATGTTTGGTTAGCTAAGGACAATTTTGTACCTTTAGCCTTGCAGTGTGCCATCATTTGTAGGTAGTAAACTGCTCAGGATTCTTCATCTCACTGGATGTTCCTCAATTCACATGCAATTACATCAGCTTTTGTAGTCAAATGTGTGGGGATAACGGGAATTAAAACTTTGACTCTCCAAGACGTGCCTAATATTTTCTAAATAGCCCAAAGATTAGTCAAACGTTCATGTTTTTAGTTCAAGTGAAAGTAGCATTTCCAAAACCCATTTCCCAGCATTCAAGTTCAAGGACTGCCAGTAATATCACTACATTTAAGTTCAAAGCCCATCTTGGTATGATATGATGAACTGGGATCATTTTTCATAAATCACTGTTATCCCAACCATTAATGTGTGCACTCATTTTGCATTCATCATTTAATCAAATTTCTGTATTTATTGAAAGCAAGTCTCCGATTCGGTTTTATATTTGAAAATAAAACTCTGAAAACATTAAAGTTGTAAGATGATTGTTTTTCCCAATGAGTCAAAACAGATCCTCGTATCATAGAGCAAGTGGATGAATATGATTTTATTTCTAACTCCGTACTGTTAAGTGGTTAAAACTGATTATTGGATGTTTTTCTAGCTGCATTCAGTAGTTCTGTAGCTAGCCACGTTAGCATCGCTGTTCTACGTGTAATTTAAGTGCCGATACCAACTGTGTTATTGTGCGTTTAAGTCCTCTTGGGAAGTTCGTATTTACGAGTTGGGAAGTCATGATTACATCGCAGGTGCATTCAAGTCATTTGGTTTTTTTTTTTTTATCGTTTTATTCAATTGATAAGGTTTTTTGTAAAATGTATGTATAAAAACTTGTACATTTTCATCACATTGTTCATTTCAACAAATTGGCAAGCTCACAACTTGGGAACATTTTCCAATTTTACATCGTGGTGGTTTTCATGTGTGTTCAACTCGTAAATATGATCTTTCTGACATGACTTGAACACACAATAGACACTGCACTGCCACCTAACGATGTTGGTCAATATTATAGTTCTTTCATCATCTCGTGTTCGAGAGCCACCTATGGGAAGGGCATCCATGCCTGACCTCTGCAGAAGCATCCAATTGCACCAAGTCTGGCTTGACAGACAGGAGCACGTGCCCAATGGCAGGTATGGGACCGCCCATTAACCAAGCGCATAAAGCTCCTGCACACACTACCTTTCCTCAGTTGACATTCGCTTCTCATGACCTCTGGAAATTTACTCAGCTTGTTGGTATGACTTCACTATTGTCTACAGGAGGACACATCTTTGGATCAGGCTCCGCCAGATGGGTTTGTCATTTTTACCAGGTCAGATGTTTTATTCCGCAAGCTGTCCATGCTCGCACTTGTTACTAGGCTGCCCGCTTCTTACCTCTCCTTTTCCTCACTCCATCTACTGTCTGCTACTCGTGGCTCTTTTGAAATCGAATCTGGCTGCACCTGTGGACAACCAGTCGCAAGCCTGCCCAGCTGCGTGCGGTGCCCTCATCGTAGCTAGGGATCCACATCCCTTTTGCATTGTTTGCATGGGTCTTAAACACATTCAAGAAGCCATCAATTTCCTGGAGAACTGTAACCATTGCTTGGTGCTCGCTAAGAAGCTCCTGCGTCGGATGCTCAAGGTGGGAGCCTCAGAGCATCAACTTGGGGTTGTCTGACTCAGACGGGGAAAAAGGTGACACCGGTGCGGTCCCGGGGGCCTCCCTCTCTGAGCTGGGCCAATCAATACAACCCGTCCCCCTTTGAGGATATTTTGTTGGCTGATTCCCATTTCACCGACGGGCCACCCAGCTCCGGGGACGAGGACAAGGCAGGCCTTCTCAATGACTCGGATGACAAGGAGGCCATCCCGCATGCTATCTGTAGCCTATCAGGCTAATGCTCCTGCTGCCCTGTCCCAATCGGTCCTACTTAAGTTTTGTGAGCGAGCGGCTGCTCACCTCAATATTGAATGTCCAGCACTTCAGAAGGCATTGGAACAAGAAAGGGACGTGTATGATGGAAAACTTTTTCCCATCCTCCCGGCATGTCCTAAACATATGAAGCACTACTGGGGAGATCCGCTCGATCTCAAATACGGTCCTGTAGGTCTTGTGGTTAAGGAAATGGCAAATCTCAATATGGGTGACCCCCTTCCACCATCGAGCCCTCTATAGCCAGGCACCTTAACTTCTCTCAAGGCGGGCTGCTCGCCCCACCCAAGCCTGTTCTACCAGCAGGATGGATCGTTTCTCTATGTGCATTCATCAGGCCTCTTATAAAGCCTCGGCTTTGGAAGTAAGAGACCACAATGTCTCCTTCCTGCTATCCGCTTACCAGGCCAAACTCTTGGTCGACATGGGACAACAACTGGATAAAGGGGCGTTATCACCCGATCTCTGGAAGGTGATAGTCACATTGAATGACAGCATTCTATGTAATGCCCCTTAGGCTGTCCAGGCGTGCAGGCACTCGATGGCTCTCTCGGTGGTTGGAGAGCACGCAATGTGGCTTAATCATTCCGGTCTCCCTGACAGCAAGAAGCGGCGCATCACTGGAGCACTGGTTGAGCTGCGCCAGGCTCTCTTCAGTCCTGCCGTTGCACTAATGCAGTAGCGCTGCGACGATTAGAAAAAGGAGGTCTTCTTACTACGGGACACCATCCCCATAATGCAGGCAGGGCTCATAGACCCCTCATGATTCCAAGTTTACGGGCGGCCAGCCCTCTGGACACCAGTTCTGCCCCTCTTTTTCCCACGTTAAAAAAAAACGGAGGTTATCTGTTGACTGGGTCAGCAGTGGGTACCCATTCAGAGTTGGCACAGGCTTCACTGTTCCCCGTGTTGCTCAGTATGAGTTTCCCAGTTCCAGAGGGGAACGTAGTGAGAAAAAGTGCACAAGCAGTGTCACCACATAGCTCCCCTCGCTCATCTCTCTCAAGTTCAATAAAGGCTTCGGCCCAAGTGTTGCCCAAAATTGTCGAATTAGCAGCTTTAAGCAGTTCTCCGGTTTGTGTGGGGACTCTCGTGAATCATGTAACAGCCTGGCTGTCTGTCCGCTCCCGAATGGGTGATTCACACAATAATGAAGGGGTACAGACTCCAGTTTGCCAAAAAGACCCCCTTGTTTCAAAGGAGTTATCTCTTCTCGTAAGGAAGAGAGCTCCACTTACATGCTGAAAGACGAAATCTCCTTTGGTTCGAGTAGTACCCCCGCATTTAAGCAGTCAGGGGTTTTACTCTCGTTATTTCCTAGTTCCAAAGAAGGACCATTCTCGCCATCCTATTCTGGATCTCAGTGTTGAACAAACATTTGAGGAAATAGAATTTCAGAATGTTAACACGGTTCTCTTTTACATTCAATAATTCAGAATGATTGGTTCACATCGATCGATCTGAGAGATGCTTTCTTCCACATAAGTATTTATCCTCAAGACAGGAAATTTTTTTGCGTCACCTACCAAGGTGTGTGCTGCGACTTCAGTCCTCCCCTTTGGCCTCGCTTTAAACCCAATGAATTTTGTCTGTGCATGGAGGTGGGCCTGGCCCTGCTGAGAATAGCGGGTCTCAGGATCCCTGACTCCACTTGATGTTTCAGAGAACCGGGGTTACGAACAGTAACCTATTGTTTTATTTAAATTACACTGATGCAAGTTTTAGAGAGCAGTTTACACAAAAATGAATCCCCTTACCTGTCAAACAAAACGATGCCCCCAGGGTATCACCAATCAGGATGTTGTCCGACCAAACTCATAAATGCACCTTTTAAAGATGCTGTGGGATATTAATCATAAAATGTCCAAACTACCTGACAGTATTTATTGAAATAGGTTTCTTGAAAAATAGACCTATCTCTGTAACAATGTTGGCCTAAATAAACACAAAATTCTTTGCCTTTTACAAGTTGAATCAGCTGGAATCATTTTAAGCACCTTAGATGTCCGCTGCCATGTAGTTGTCATGTGAATTAATTCCATGCATTAGTTATCATGAACAACATAACCTTGACATTTAAGGTGGTATGAATTAACATTGATCATAATACATTAAACATGAATTAATGAACAATAGTATATTAATAAATGAACTAACCTAGACTAATAAATGCTGTAAAGTGTTTTAGTTCATAATTCCTGTAGTACATTAATGTTAACAAATTAAATCTTATTGTAAAGCATTACCAATTTTTCCCCTTTTTTTGCAATTATTTACTTACATATACACTACCGTTCATTTTTTTTTCCTATTAAAAGAAGTACTTATATTCAGCAAGGATGCATTAAGCAAAAGTTCTTTTGATGTGTCTGTTAATCAAAGAATCCTGAAAAAAGTATTACGGTTTCTGCTAAAACACTGAGCAGCACAACCATTTTCAACTGATACAATATATTTTTTTAAATTCTGGAGCAGCAAATGAGCATATTAGAATGATTTCTGAAGGATTATGTGAAACTGAAGACTGGAGTAATGGCTGCTGAAAATTCAGCTTTGCCATCACAGGAATGAATCACATTTTAAAACGAATTAACAATACAATTATTACAATAATTTTTCTATCACAATATTATGTTACTCTATGTATGATCAAATAAATGCAGCCTTATTGAGAATAAGAGACTTCTTTCAAAAACATTTTAAAAAATCTTACAGACCCCAAACTTTTGAACATTAGTGTATTTGTTGACTGAATAATATTAATTTGACTGCTGTAACACAAAACCAGCAAGGCCCTCACTGACACTGTAGAAAATCCACACCATCACCACGTTTTGCACTTTTATGAATCTTTTTTGTCTTTCGTTTATTTACAAGCTTTAAATTTGCTCTATCAGTATGAAGAATAACAAGCACTTCAGGTTCAGCAACGTCTCCTTAGTTGTTTTGTACATGTCACCATCTGCTCATTGACATCCATTCTGAGCTCTCGTCATGTGATCCCAGCAGTCCCCTGAATGCATAGTTCCTGCCAGATGAAATGTTTCACAAAGAGCAAGCTAAAGCAGAGGAACATTTGGTATGGTTATTGAGATAATAACCGTAAACATGTACTAAACACTTCAGTACTGATGTACTAAACGCAGACCAGGTCTTCTCTGTGCTCAACCAACAAACTTTTTCCAACAATTTGAAAATCACAGAAGTTGTTTAATTATTGTTACTGTCATTATATTAATAATAAGATGATTATTTCTCTATCCACCAATAACCGCTCGTTGTGACTCTGCAAATGTTAAATACCCTTTTGTGTATGCAGTTCTTAAAAAATATAAATTAACGAGTCTGAACGTATGTTTTGTTTCATTGTTGCATGTTTGTATTAAAGTCCTCTTAAAAAGTAACAAAAGAAAAAAAACTTAAATGCAACATTTCTATAAATAATAAATGTTTTAGTGCTCCAGCAATTGCAAGTCGTCATAGGGTCGCTGCATGTACCATTCCAAATCTTGCTGCACTCCAGCCATCCTGATGCATAATGTGTTGCTTGTTATGTTTCATTTTAATTTGATGCAGTTATTGTTTCAGCGACTAGTTGGCAAATGTGTCCGTTTGTCCCCTCGTCAATTGTCCTCGGACTCCTCCTCTGCCTCGCGCAGCCACGTGAAGAAAGCGGTGACTGACTTCAGGGCCACACCTTTGCCTTGCTGTTCAGCAGGGTCTTTACTGACCTCCCACTTATAGAAAGCGTCTTCAGATATCACATCCTCATCATACAAACAGTCAAAGAACATCCGGAGCAAATCTGCAAAATATTAATAAAATAAACATTTTAATCTCTTGGTGATTACTCAAAATATCAACATTAAAAAATACCATCCACTGTAGAATAGCGTTAATAACACAAATATTCCATGTGGTGTGAGTTTTAATGGGAATATGAAAGGTTTTACTCACTAGCAGGCTGGTCCAGTTTTACTATAAATGTTTGAAGTGCGTAAAGTGCTTGCAACTGTCTCTCTGTGTCTGAGTTAAGGTACTTGTGTAATACAGGCAATCTCCTCTTGATTATGGACAAGTCCACTTTGTATGAGGAGCCCTCGGCTGCAGACAGAAGACACAAGATTGGAATATTTGACAATCTGACATTTGAAACTGTACCACATAAAAGGCAAACACAAGATGCTGCGTTCCTGTGCAACAGCAAACTAAATAGCTCAAATTTGCATAAATGTATCTAGAAAGTTACCCTCCACTACCCGAAACAGCTTTGTTGTTGCTGTCACTTACTTTTCACTGCTGCCTTGCACACAGCAGTCATTAAAGCTCTGAGGAAAGGAGGTGAACTCATTTCTGATTCATCTAGATTGGCCTGTAATACATCACACATCAATGATAAGATCATTCACATCCTTTAATAAAACTAAGTCTAAAGAGCTGGACGTAAATCTACCTCAATCCAGTCAAAGATTCGTTCATCACCAGCCATGTCCTCAAGTAGTAGTTTTTCAAGTTGCTTGTTCAGTTCCTCAGGTGAGAGTGTTCTCTTAGAGACAGCCTCGGTCGGGTTTGAGCCGTCAGAAAGTGTGAAGTCCAGTTTCTGTAGGAAGGTCAAATCATAAATGAAACTCGTTCAGCATGGGACAGCTGAGTAATAGGTGAATGTTTTGATGGTTAGCATATATTAGATGTCTTAGAAAATGTAAATGAAGGCTCACATGTTCTGTGATGAAGCTGTGCACATCCTCCGTTTCAGGTATAAAATCTGCCCAGCTCAACCCAGAGTCCCTCCATAATGATCCTACTTTCCTATGGCTCTGCAAACACACAATGCATTCATTTCCACTATTCTCACACTAACAAACCTTACAAATATGGCAAATACAAACAAAATGTTTGATTCTAATTTTTTAAGCTCACCATTTGTTTGCATAGAAGGTGCAATATTTCAGAAAATAATATCCCAGCTCTTCCCACAGGGAGTAATGGTTTGCTAAATTCACTGCAGACACAAAATAAGCAAATAAAACTTGTGTAAAGGCAATTACTAAAGCTGATGAGTTCTATGAATCTAATAACACTGTGGTAAGTGCTTGCAGGATAAAACCTAACCTAAATAATTCTCTCATAGAGATTCCCCCCTCTCGAAGCACAGGGGTCACCAGCTCCGCAAGGTACAGCCATATATGGGGAATATCAATGGCCATATCATCTGCTAATTCAAGAGTTTCAGAGAACCTGGGGGAAGAAACAATTATATTAAAAATCCCAGAATCGAGTGCAACTTTTTTGTTTTTTTGGAGTTGATTTAATAAGATTATATTATTTTGAAACATCATTTGAAACATCATCACATACCCATTTAAGAAACAATCAGTATCAGTATTGTTAAAATCGTAACAAAAAGTATTAGTATCATTATTATGTCGAAATAAAAAAGGTTGGTATCATCTATCCCTACTTCTTTCATGCTACCTTAGTAGATAATGGACAGCGAGGCTGCTTACTACATTTTGCAACACAAACGCACACATAACATTACTAATGCAGAGATGATAAGAATGTTAACTTTCTGCAATCTCACCCTTTAAAGAACTGAAGTTTGTGGAGGATTCCAGCCTGCAGGAGCTGGTAGAGCAGCTGACCCATATGGTCTCGTGTGATCTGACTCCTCTCCAGCGTGGACTCCACACCCACCCGCACAAACACATAGAGCATGGCAGGTTGCTCTAGTTCATCCACACACTGCACTGCCTCCTGCAGCACAAGTATAGTACGCTTAGAAATTCCTCTACTGCTATTCTGGACTAGGAGATACAGCTTTATAAGTTATGTAGTGCATAAAATAGCAATTTTTGTGATTTAAAAAAAATGGGTACAAACCTTGTAATCATTAATGTGCAAAAACTCATCGATAATGGACTTGGACCGCCTTTCCATGTCCTCTTCTGTTAATGTAGGCTTGTCTGGAGAGGGTCCTGACAGTACTTCAAGTTTAACAGCTGCAATAAGAGACAGCCTTAAATGTTGGATTTTCTTCTTATGTATTTCACCATAATGTAACCAGCAGCATTATAATGTGTGCGAGGGTATCCGTGTGGCTCACCAGACTCCCTGGATTGGCTACGCTCCAGTCTGCTTTTGTCTGCAGTGCTGGCGGGCAGCTTGGGCGTGTCTGAGGCATTCGAGTCTCTACGGGACACTTCCTGGACCGACTCCTCAGGAGCCTCCTTATTGCTGCTACCCAATGAGATGGGCCCTGTCCGAGCGGGACACGCACTCAATGGCTTGTCATTATGTTCTCGTCCTGAGCTTCCATGACTGAGAAATTCACAAACACACAAATACAGACATTCCTGAATTTCCAGATGTAAAAGTGTTTCCTTCAATTCATTACAAATGAAACAATAATAATAAAATGTTAATAAAAATGTTAATTATAAAAAATAAATAGTTTGCTTATTATTTAATTTGTTATCTGTTCATTTCAATGTACTATATAATTAGATAACCATATGAATATAATTATCATTTGAATTATATGAATTCTAAAATATAAATGCAAAGTATAATTACATTTAAATTGGCTGAAAATAAAAATGTAAAAAAATCTATAATTCTATAATTACAATGTATTATATAATTAAATAATTATAAAGTAAAAGTATAAATACTTATAATTTGAAAAATTAACAGAAGCACATCTGAGATGTATTTACGTATATAAAATATTGATAAACACTACAGACGAAATGTAAGAATGAAAAGGTATCTTCCCTTTCTCAATGACTATATTTTATATATGTACAGTACCTGCTGAGAACTCTTTTGGCATCAAAATCTGGGGATGTAGAGGGTAAAGAGGAGGCCAGGGGTGCTGAGGGTTGCAGGGGTGAGTAACGGTTCAAACTGGCACTGGGACGAGAGACATCTAAAAGAAAAAGGGTGCAGGACAGGGAAAAAAAGGAGGACATTTCACATTAGTAAACAAAGTATAGAGCCAGAATATCCTGCATAAACTATAAAACAGCTGGAATTGACAGAGCCAGTAGCCCATACCTGACTGCATCAGTCTTACTTTACCTGACTCACTGGCCTTGGCTCCAGCTCCTCCACTGCTGCCCTTCACCCAGTTCACCTGAGCTCTTGGTCCCAGCTGAATCTTCTCATCTATTGTTGGCTGAAGAAAACAGTAAGATCATATTACATTTTCTCATGCATTCATATCAGATCAGTAGTTCTTAATCCTGGTCCTGGGGACCTGCAGCACTGCACACTTTGCATGTCTCCCATTTACCACACTTGATTTAAATCAGCAGAGCTTCATGAACTTGGTCTGTAAGAAAAGGTACAAAATGGGCAGCACTGCAGATCCCTAGATTCACAATCAAGAGTCAATGAGATACTAAGATGCTACTACACAAGCAAACAGAAGAACCATCGGGTGGGGCTGTTGAGTCAAACAGTTAATTAGCATATTTACAAACACTGCAAAAAAAAATAAAAAAAATAATTCCTGTTAAAAAATATTTTAACACCATTAAGCCTCACTAAATATTGTTATATTTATGCTTACAGAAAGACATTTGCAAATAGGGCTAGAGAATTCATCCAGATATTTTGAATGTGTTTTTCGGTAGTTTTAAGTGTGCTTATGCTGTGCTTCAGCTGTCAGACCGTTTGCATGGTAACATCAAGCCCAGTTATACAGGGCCTCCAATTAAGACCAATTAGTAGAATAGTCCTTCAAAACATATGAAAATATACTGTTTAGCACATTCAGATCCAGAAGAAAAAACTTTTTTTTTTTTTAACTGGAAAATTTGTCACAAATTCATTATTTTTTTTATATTAAATTTAAAAGTATGTAATAATATTTTTGTATAAATATACATTTTTAGGTGAAATGCTTTAAGTCAACATGCTTTAAAGCAGCACACTACAAAAGCACAATCAATGACATGTAGCAAGGTGTAGCTTGCACAACCTCCGTAAGTGTGATTCAGCTGATAAGATCAATGGTTTACATAAAAATGCAGCTTCCTTACGTCCAAACAGATCATGGGGGAGTATGAAAAAATGCAGAATTGCATATATAGAATCTCTTTTTCTAAAACTCAGTTATGCTAGCCATCTTAAGACGTGACTAGAAAGAAAATGTGTTCTTAGTTTGACTTCTGGACTTTACCTTTGAGATCTTGAGAATCTTAGCGGGGTCTATTGTTCTGCTGTTCTTAGTCATAGGCACAGTGCTCCAGGTCTCCTCTCTCTGCACCACTGCAACATGAAGAGAAAGTACAGCTAGTTCATCAGAGAGTGAAAAAAGGAAAGGAGGCCCACAGGACTGAGCAAGCTGTAAAGAGGATTAGCCTATAGCAGAAGTCTCTTTCTGACCTGGTCTCCTCTTGTTGTCCTTGGACAAGAGTTGCTGGTGAACCTTCCTCTGTTCCTCCTGCTCCTCCAACTTTGCCTCTTTATGGATCTGCTCAATGGTCTTGGGGCCCAGGTCAGCTCTCCGAGACACCCAATTGTGCTAAGATGAGGGAAGAACACAAAATATTACCTGAAAATTCCAGCATGACTGCCAAATTATATATATATATACATATAAACATCCTCACACTATACAACAATAGGGTTCAAAAATATTATTAACAATACTGAATTATAAAAAAAATAGGTTTAAACCAATATTTAGCTATTTTGACATTACATTGTCTACTTGGCCGGTTAACAGAAGGATCACATCCCTACCTACAAATTAGTCAATGACTAAACAATTATTTCAATTTGTTTGTATTTTGAGTAAATATTGTACAAAATAAATGTTTGTTTCTTTTCTGAAACTTTGCCTATGTCCTATTTACCATCCTAATATTTTTTTTTTTTCGGTTTTGAAAGAAATGTATTTTATTCTGCAAAAGTGACAGTATAGTCACACACACACACACACACACACACACACACACAAAGATTTCTATTTCAAATAAATGCTGTTCTTTTGAACATTCCATTCAAAGAATTCTGAAAACACGTATAAAGATTTCCACAAAATATTAAGCAGAACTGTTTTCAACATTGATGATAATAATAAGAAATGTTTCTTGAGCACCAAATCAGCATTAGAATGATTTCTGAAGGATAATGTGACATTGAAGACTGGAGTAATGATGCTGAAAATTCAGCTTTGCATCACAGGAATAAATTACATTTTAAAATAAATTAAAATAGAAAACAATTAAACTGTAACAATATTTCACAACATTACTGTTTTTACTATATTTTTGATCAAATAAATGTAGCCTTGATGAGCATAAGCGACCTCATTCAAAAACATACAAATCTTACTGACCTCAAACTTTTGAACAATTGTGAATACATAAGCATTTATGGCAGATGAACTTGACAAACTAAACATATTTGTCTGAGTTTGTTAAGCTTTTTGAGTAGTAGTTAATTAATTAATAATCATACAAATAAATCTTAAATCACACACATTTTTTTTTCAAATCAAACGTTGTACTTTTGGAGCTGAAAACGTTGCCTTGATCACTGCTTGAAAACAAACGAATAACACAAAACTCACCAGTCGCAGGTCAATAACGTCCTGCAGCATGAACCGAATGCGTGAAGAAGTCTTTTTCTCCTTTACTATCTTCTCCATCTGGTTAAAGTACTGATCCATCCGTGGCTAAACAGGAACAAGAAGAACCATCTGTAAGATTCACAAGCTTCAAAAGAGACCTGAAAACATCAATAGACCACCATATACAATATATTTTTTTGCCTGACATGAACTGACATTTCTCTTTAATTAAAGTAAAAAAAATAAGTTCAACTAATGACATGAGGGTGAGTAAATAATGACAGAATTCACATTTTTGGATGAACTATCCATTCAAGAGCATTAGGCACCACCCTCACAGTCATGTTCTCAGCTGAATCCAAAGTGAATTTTGGAACCAGAGCAGAGTAAAATGACTCATTTGGGATTCGTTTCCAAACAGCACATGGCAGGAGCAGAGAGGACATAAACCAGGCTTTTTGGATGCAAGAGGCCAAAGAACACTAGTTTATGCAGAGCTCCACCACGGCAGTGCAAAGAGTGGCCAACACATAGATTTCTTTGCATATTTGCATTGAAATAGGCAACAGTTTTTGTGCATTTATATGGACTGCAGCAGCAATGAACAGAATTAGGAGGACAGTTATTCTTAAAGCCCATTACAGAGGACATCCTCCCGATTAGGATAAACCACCTTAGCTTTCTCAAAGTCCAGGTCCTTGCCAATAGTTGTGAGCAGCCTGCACAAGCACTCCAATGACTCTTCATCGTGGTTTTTCAGCAACTTCACCACGCAGTCGTGCATGATGGCCTCTGTCAGCATCCGCAGCTTGAAGAGCTCGCCGATGAACTTTATATTGCCTATGGAGCGTCTGCGGGCCTTATCTTTCGCCTCGTTCAGTTCCTCCTGCAGCCTCTCCCGCTCGCTAGCCTGGGAGTAAGAATGAGAGAGAGGAAGACGTGTCAGAAATGATCAAATGACTCATTTGGGATTCGTTTCCAAACAGCACATGGCAGGAGCAGAGAGGACATAAACCAGGCTTTTTGGATGCAAGAGGCCAAAGAATACTAGTTTATGCAGAGCTCCACCACGGCAGTGCAAAGAGTGGCCAACACATAGATTTCTTTGCATATTTGCATTGAAATAGGCAACAGTTTTTGTGCATTTATATGGACTGCAGCAGCAATGAATAGAATTAGGAGGACAGTTATTCTTAAAGCCCATTACAGAGGACATCCTCCCGATTAGGATAAACCACCTTAGCTTTCTCAAAGTCCAGGTCCTTGCCAATAGTTGTGAGCAGCCTGCACAAGCACTCCAATGACTCTTCATCGTGGTTTTTCAGCAACTTCACCACGCAGTCGTGCATGATGGCCTCTGTCAGCATCCGCAGCTTGAAGAGCTCGCCGATGAACTTTATATTGCCTATGGAGCGTCTGCGGGCCTTATCTTTCGCCTCGTTCAGTTCCTCCTGCAGCCTCTCCCGCTCGCTAGCCTGGGAGTAAGAATGAGAGAGAGGAAGACGTGTCAGAAATGATCACTGTGTGCCCGCTGCAGTAAAATCGGCATCCAGACTACAACAGGAGATTATTTTCAGAAGCCCTTATAGTAACTTTCAACATTAAATGAGCTTTCAGTTTATTTGATAAATTTGGTACAATTCTACATTCAATACTGTAATTCAGAATTTGTTTCATATGTAGTTGTGATTAACGGAAGAGACAGATGTATTGAGATGTTCAGTACATCAGAGTGAAACAGATTATTGAAAAAGCAAAAAGTGTTGGGGGAAGATGAAAGGAGATCTAAATGCATGCTAGCAGTTGAACGGTCAGAAAAGAGTGGGGTTTAAGCAGACTAAATGATTGGAGAAATCTGGCATACGTCACCAGAGAGAAGCAGTGAAGCACTGAAACACTAAAACCAAAATTAAAGTTTTCATTACCTTAAACTGAAACCGGAAATAAGGTTTCGGTAATTCAATTTGGGTAACTGAACTTGGTTCACCGTTTATAGTGTCGTGTCATCAGGTGATTAATTAAATCAGTTGTAGTAAGTTTCTCTAAAAATCTAACATTTTTACATATTGCTACTCGAGCATTATTTTTAATGAAGTGTGTCCACAACATTTACCTGTTATAGCATTTCCATGTTGTATGCATGCAATAACGCTAAAACAGTCAAAGCATGTCATGCATCATGTTTCGGTCAAATATTACGGCCCTCAAATCTATTTTGGCCGAAAAATTCTTTTTTTGAGAACGTAAAAACTACAAGGTCAAAAAAATTCAACATGCATGGAAGAATCATTCACAATAAGATAAAAATAACACGCATTTAGAAAATAGATCATGCCAACTAGATTTTCAGATAATCAGACAAAGCTATCAGATGATTTTAAAAGGCTTAACCAGCACAAGACTCATATTGACTGCTTTTATGGTAAAAATCATACGAGAGTAACATGATGGTTGCTGACAGTAATTGTGTAACTATTCATATGCACATAATTATAAAAAACTTATGTATTAACAATTTTAAATAATAATTTTATATTTAATTGAGTTAAGCCTAATGTACCTTTCATTTTTGCATCTGTACTTATTCACAATATTGGATTAGGATTCAAGTACAATAAATATTAGCAAAACATTTTTTTTTAAAGATTTACTGTATCATTAGTAAAAAATAAAATAAAATGCATGGAATATAACTGCTGAAAATGTTTTGCAAGCCATTTAAATCCACACAGAAAATTCTAATCAACCTTCTCATAGCATGTGTTATTCTAGGCAATTACATCTAGGCAATCTGAATGGCCTGTGATCCATTTAAGAAGTTTTTGGTGCTGAAGCACTTACTGAATTGGCTGCCTCCAGCTCCCTGTGTTTCTTCTCGAAGACATCATCATCCACCTTGTCCTTCTCAAACTCCTTCTGACAGCGATTCAGAAGCAGCTTCCGGAAATTCACAGTGCTGTTGGGCTTATCCGTCATGGGCACTTTTAACTACAAACACAGCACGTGACTGATTTAGACATGCACTCACCATGCTGCATTCCAAGATAAACACACTCAGTTTCCAATCTCCATTTGCTCCCAAAATCCCAAATAAACATTTCCTTAATTAATCAGTGATCTACTAAACTTGTATATCATTGCTCATTTTCAACAGACCCCAGTTTTAATGGAAAGTCTGACTCACCGTGGCCAGACAGCTGCACATATTGCCATAGGCCACAGAGAAGCTGGGTTCATCAACGGCTTTCTCAAAAACCAGGTCTATGACACCCTTGAGCCGCTCCTCAGTGTCGATGGTGAGGTCAGTCACCTGCTTCATCAGCTGGCTGAACATCTGTGGCGTCAATTTGTTGAGAATACTACGCACTTTTCGGAAAAGCTCCTGTAAAAATATCAATGCACATATTACCGAATGTCCTCCAAGGCAACTATCAATCCCAAGCTCCATTTCCTCTCCATATTAGAGAAAGTAATGATGTAATAAATTATTCGATCATAGCTGAACATCTGGATACCACAGCATGCTTTCTTTGTACTGCAAAATAAGGCCATCTGAAATGAAGACCTTAGATTTCAGGGTCTCTGGCTCTTCAATGACATTTTCCCGCTTCATTCCAGGTTTCCAGGCATTCTCTGTTGTCCTCAGCTGCACCTCATCATTCACCGACACGTTTGTGATGATCTTGCGTCCAGGTGGTCGACGCAGGCTAACATTCAGCAGCTGAGGGAACAGAAATAATCATGTAATACAGACAAGAATAATAGGTGTTTCTAAGAGCGCATCTAAAGTCAAATAGCTTTTATTCGTATGTGAAGTATTAGAATTGAATTACATTTAAGATAGAGAGCATTATAAATGACTTATTGTAGTTATTGTTTTATAAATAATGATTTTTGTATGTGTACTTATGCACAATATTGGATATAGATTCGAGTACAATAATTATCTGTACATTTTTGTAAGAGCGTGCTCCAGGGAATGTAAATTGAAAATGCTTTCATTCGTGGGTGAAGTAATACATTTTAATGAAATTAAATGTAAAGGATCTAGAGAGCATAATAATTGATTTACTGTAGTAATTAAGACAAAACCCCCTTTTTTTTTTTGTATGAGTGTGAGAATAAGTTGGGACAAACCGGTGCTCCCCTGCCTCCAGAAATCTGTCTGCCAAAATCTGCAAATGCTGGCGTGAAGTCTGGGCCTCTGGAAATCACTCGTGAGTCTACCGGCCGCATGGGCAGCTTATTTTGGTTAATCTGTTCGGTAAGGCAGAAACACATTAGGCTTCACTTAAAAAACAACTTACTGCTCTGTACAAGAGCAGTAATGAGTTTTACAAGGATTTAACAGAAGGTGATTATCAGGTTACAATAACCCTTTATTCCCATAGTAGTCCATTTAATGGTGCGATGCAAATTCATTCTGGTACAAGAGAAATTTCGATGGGAATTTTCAGTTATTAACTTTAATAGATATTACTTTGAAAACCATGATATAGTAAAAGTTCAAACAAGAGCTGTCAATTTAATGTGTTTATTCAGTATAGTATAAGTAGAAAAGCTGTTCAATGAACCGTCTGTGTAATATTGGCTAATAATAACCTTATCTAGAACAACATCAGAAATGGGAGGAAGCCCCTCTGGTTTCTGCACACATGCAGGCATGAACTGGAAGCCCAACAGGAAGTCTCTGTCGTACTGCTTCTTTCCATTCTTCTCTGCAGGCTCTGCAGAAGAGCAGAAAGGCTTTCAGTGGTAAAAACCTGGCAAACACACGTGGGACACTAGAGAATGTTGTAGAGAGATGGCCTTACGTGGCAGCACTGCTTTGATCAGTGGCTCTTTGACTGCAGACAGGTGGATGCTGTCACTGCTTTCAGTTTCAGAGGCGTGTTCAGCCCCGTTTCTCAGAGGCTCTACTTCCTGTTCTCCGTTCTCCTCAAGCACAGCTCCTGCTGACGGCCTCCTCTCCACCTCCACAGGAGGAGGACTGGGGCTCTCTGCAGCAGGTTCCATAGAGGGCTGATCCATGTCCTCCTACCAAACACACACACACACACACACACTTTAAGCCTATCTTAAACTAATTTGAATATAAGGAACTGGATTTGTCTGTTATGATTATGAATTTTGGCCAGTTTGAAATAATAATATAGTAATATAAAAGATGTTATATTAAATATTTTAACATTATAAAGTAATATAAATTAAAATGTATTATCCATTTATGAATATAAAACAGTTATAAAACAATTAAAACAATAGAAATGCTTCAAAGATTGTAAATTCAATGAAAAATACCTGTTTGTTGCGATTGATTATAATTCATTAATTTATAATAGATATAATAAAAGCTAGATGCATTAATATGATGGACCCAAAAAGCACATAAGCAAAATTATTTTACCTCTTTATCTAGACACTGATCTTGCTCTACAGGCATGTCCTCTTTTGGCTTCTTCCAGGTCTTTGGTGCACTAGATGTAGCTGTACAAAGAAAAAATGTGTGTTATTTGAATGACCCCCACTTCATGGCAATTCATCTTAGATGTATACTTCGACTGCTCACATTGACTTGAGCTTTTTTTGGACTGCAAGAAGGGCTCGCCTCTCTCGTCCGGCAAGGCCTCGGTCTCCTTCCCTGTTTCTTTGAGCTCTGCTCCTGTAGAGGGTCTCTTGGCTGATCCTGCAGAAACCTGACTTGGGTGTGTGAGGCCTGGAGGAGGAGCAGGTGTGGTGGAGATAGCAGCAGTAGTGGAGGTGGAGAGGGATGGGGCGACAGGACATCCAGTGCTGTCCTCAGCAGGAGGCGAGGGAGTATCCGCCTTTCCCGCGGCAGACTCGGCCTCCAGCGCCAGTGTGATGGGACTGGGCTCCGAGCTGGGGCACTGGGGCACGCTGGAAGTAGGCAGCAACGGAGAGACTTCCCTGGGTTGGGATTCCAAGTCTTCACTCAAGGGAGCAGCATCGGTGTCCGTCAGCCCATCGATGACCTTTTCAGGCTGGGCCAGGGATGTAGACGGGCTCTGAGGTGAGAGCTGCTCTGAGGAGGATTTCTCCGGCTCAGAGATTTCAGGTTCTGGTGTGATAGCTTTAGTGGGGCCGGGCTCAGCTGATGGGCTCGGGGCGTCAGCTGACTCCACGGTTGAGGCAGGTATGGAAGGAGTTGGGGCTGTAGCTACACTTGAGGCCGATTCTGGGCCGGAGGTGGGAAGCTCAGTTTTCTGTGGGGGAGAGGGCTCTTGGACTGGGCTGCTAGGATCTCTTCTTTCCAGTGGAGTCTCTGGCTGCCGCAATCCTGGAGATGCAGATCTTTGCGAGGCAAACTCTAGTTTTGGCTTGTCATCTAGAGCCATAAAGTAAACAAACAGTAGGGTAAATAAAACAAAAACAAACCAAAAAAAATATTGTGATATACAGTGAGTACGGAAAGTATTCAGACCCCCTTAAATTTTTCACTCTTTGTTATATTGCAGCCATTTGCTAAAATCATTTAAGTTAATTTTTTTCCCTCATTAATGTACACACAGCACCCCATATTGACAGAAAAACACAGAATTGTTGACATTTTTGCAGATTTATTAAAAAAGAAAAACTGAAATATCACATGGTCCTAAGTATTCAGACCCTTTGCTCAGTATTTAGTAGAAGCACCCTTTTGATCGAATACAGCCATGAGTCTTTTTGGGAAAGACCCAACAAGTGTGTACATTAATGAGGAAAAAAAATTAACTTAAATGATTTTAGCAAATGGCTGCAATATAACAAAGAGTGAAAAATTGAAGGGGGTCTGAATACTTTCCGTACCCACTGTATATAGAAATGTATTTCCCAGCTTGCTCATGGTTTTGGTGACAAAAATCATATCAAAAAGAATATCAAAGCAATATATATTAAACATTTACAATGTATTTGCAGTGTTTTTGTTGGCAATATAAAAGAAAGCAATAGCTTTAAAGTGATGTTAGGCTTTTCTATGTGATAGATAAATAATAAAAAATTACACAGTAGAATATACACTAAATATAAAAAAAATTAATTAATAACATACACAATATATTTGCACTGATTTTATTGCCAATATAAAGTAAGCAACATCATGAAAGTGCTGCACTTGTTAAAAAATTAAATAATAGAATATACACAAAACCCACATAAATATATTAATCAATCAATCCATAAATAAATAACATACAATGTTTCTGCAGTGACTTTGTTGGCAATATAAAATTAAGCAAAAAATGCTAAAAGTGTTGATCTTAAACTTTTAATGTATGAGTTAATTAAATACTAAACTATAAATAAATGAATTAATAATTAAATGACTGTATTTGCAGGGATTCTTCTCAGTAATTAAATAATAAAATATAATATAAATTAATCAAATATAATAAAATGCATACATTCTTCAATGAATAAATTCATGCATGAATAAAGAATGTAATATAAAGTATCTGCAGTGATTTTGTTGGCTATATAAAATTATTAAATCATGAAAATTGTGCTTTTTATTATCTAAAAAAATAAAGAAATAAAAACGTATTTTTATTTGTGCAGTATACAGTGTGCTTTTAATGTGACCTTTCACATAACCTCAAAAACATTAAAAGGCTGAAAAACAGATTAGTGGTTCTCACCTGGTTTTGCTTCAGGACCCAGATTTGACATTGGACATGAAATGCAAAAACTTTACTTTCATGGTTTTAAAAACAAGGGCATGACATACAAATTGTGCAGGTTGGCATTTGCTTAATTTGGTGAGCTTCTACCAATTGATAGATGCAAAAACTCATAGATACAATAAAGACTTTGACTTCAACAACAAATTATATGGGAAGTATTTTCTCATCCTAAAAACTGATATGCCTATTTAGTTGCATTTTATTATTTGCATTTAAGATGGGTTATTTCCTGCTGTCCATGACACTCAGACCTGTGACCCACTGTTGGGTCAGGACCCACCAGTCGAGGACCACTGCTCTGAACCTGCGGGGAGAAGTTGGCAACTGCTGTGAAGCCTTACCTGCTTTCAAGTCGATGGGTGTAGGAAGGAGCTGTGTGCTGTCCACGTGTCCGTGATCCGCTACCTGGCTGTTCAGCTGCTGGGATTTGAAGTAGAAAATGTGTAGATAATGAGGGTGTGAATATAAAAACTAGCAACAGAGAGACACAAGGCACGAGCACATATGCAGCACACAGACAGAGCGGGAAAAACAGAAAAACACAGAGAATGGAGAAGAGAGAGAGAGGGGCAGAAATGAAGAAACATGGGGAGGAAAAGGGGAAAGAGAGCAGAGGAGAGACGAACACTGTTAACGTTCAGGGAGAGAAGACAGAGGAAGTGTCAAAACATATTGAGTGCTCCATCTACAGGGACAGTGCCTTAGATGAGGGGTTTTTAAACCATTTTATGCCAAAATCTCCCAAAAATGATCCCTGTCCTAAAATCTAAATTAAATGCAGATTTATTTCAGACATTATTTTAGATTTCATAAAAAAAAATAAAATAAAAAAAATTATATATATATATATATATACATATACAGATTTAACTAAAATTAAAAGAGATGACTGGGTTTTATCTGTAAACTACTTACTTAACATAACTATTAACTTAATGTATAAAAATAACAGCATATCCTTCATATGCACACTGTTGGAATAAAAGAGAAACTCTCAATTATTTAATTCATATTTGTGTAGCACTTTGCATAATAAATATTGTTACAAATCAAGTAGTGAGCAAGCTAAAAGTAATAATAATAAGAAAAAAATACCTATGATGATACAACACAAATAAAAATTATTCTTAAAGTATAACATATATTATTAACAAATTCAAAAGTTTGGAATTGGTAAGATTTTTAAAAATGTAAAAAAAAAAAAGATTCTGTTATGCTCCCCAAGGCTGCATTTATTTGATCAAATATACAGTAAAACAGTAATATTGTAAAATATTACTACAATTTAAAATATCTGTTTTCTAGTTCAACATTTTAAAATGTATATTACTCCATTACGTCAGTTATTAGTGTCACGTGATCCCTCAGAAATCATTTTAATATGCTGATTTGGTGCTCATTTTTCATTATAATCTATGTTGAAAACAGCTGTACTGCTAAATGTTTTTGTGGAAACCATGATGCTTCTTTTTTCAGGATTCTTTGATGAATAAAGTTTATTTTTTGTTGTAATAATGTAAATGTCTTTAGTAAGTCTTTTGATCTATTTAATGCGTCCTTGCTGAATCAAAGTAATACTTTCTTTGAAAAATTAAAATAGAATAAAAAAAACGTACTGACTCCAAACTTTTGAAGGATGGTGTATGTTGCGAGAAAGAAGAGATGCACATTTTTAAATAAATGAAACGTATATATTTTAGATTTTACATCTAAAAGATTTTATTTTTACAATACTACGTGCATTTTTTTTTTATTTCTACCTGTTAAAATACATTTCGTAAAATATTTTTATATTACTTTTGACTCAGACACCCTGCACTCCTTGTGGCCCATAGACCCCAGTTTGAAAACCCCTGTTTTAGATTAGGCACAGTGAGGACGAGAGATATTCTAGAGTGTGTAGATGAGGAGTCACTGTAAAGGGAACACACAGGGATCAGGATGACACAAACAATCATGAAGCAGAGCTACAACACGCGTGACAGAATATGCAAGATTGAAACTTCTTAAATTCTACAAATAAACATAATAGACTTTTACTTCTACAGGTAAAAGTTTCGAGACTATTCAAAGTTCTGCATTAAAAATGCATAGCATAAAATTGGTAGCTTGTGGGTAAAAGATCAAACTATTAAGTAGAGGTGCTGACCCACGGACATGAGCTGTGGCTTTAGATAAGAAGATAAATTCCTGATTATAAAGGAGTGGAAACTTTGTCAGTGTGGCTACAAAGTCAGGTGGTTGCTATGGTGTTCAGATTGGATTTTACTATGTTGCTATGCGGTTGCTAGGGTGTTCTGAGTGGTCGCTTACTGGCTCCAGTCAAAAGAGCTCATTCCCAAGATGCAGAAATTAGAAAGGGAGTGATGTCCAGCTAAATCTGTGTGTGCGCATATGGGTTTTTGTATTTGATTTGGTCTCTGTGATTAGCCGTCTTACCCGTGGAGGTGTAGGAGTGGAGGAGGGCCGTCTCACCGGTGGGGTTGGGTTCCGACTTCCGCCCACCCCTGATAATATCTCTTCTGTCACATCCTTGCCACCCTGGTTGGGGTCTCGGATACGGATCTTAAACAATACAACAATACTTAAACAATCTTAGACAATAAAGAGTCAGATAATTAAATAATAAAACATCAGAAGCATCATCTAATTCCTGTTCAGCATTTCTCAAGCCTTGATAATTAAAAACTAATTTTATTTTTCAATACAAATTTTCTCAAGGCATTATGCATTATATATATTATTTCAGTCTGCATACTGCTATAAAGATGACACTCACGGTTTTCTTTTCCCTCTTAGCAGGTGGAGGTTGTTGTGGTGTAGGCACTATAATGGATGGAGATGGTGAGTAGATGGACTGCCCAGGATAGTAGGGAGGTCCTGCTGCTCACAAACCACACAAGACAACAAGTTCCTTATACTCATTCACACCAATATAAATTATTTTGCTGATTATTTCTAATTAATTGATTAATAGGATAACAAAGCCTAATTGTATTTTCTGTATATGCTGAAAAACATAATTTCAATGTTCTGCCTAATGTTCAATAAAATTAAAGGCTATGAATACAAATATAAATGCATGAATGTAGGCTATGCTATGCATTTTGTGTACAAAAAAAATAAAAATATAATAACTTTTTTAAAAACACTTTTTAGAACGATTATAACGTCACATTAAAAATGTATAAAACCAAAAAAATTTTTGCAATTCAATAATGAAATCTGTCGCCTATTATCATCAACCATCAAAGGGAAATCACAAAAAAGTATACTAAAACTGCTCACAATCATATGCCTCAGTTTTGGTAAAATATATATATATATTTTTTTACAAATTTGTCAGCTACCAAAATTTTGAAACCATTTCACAACTGAAAAAAAAATGTATCTCTTAGCTAACCAAAACCAACTGAATAAGACTACCCATCACAGCAGGATGATAAATCTTAAAATATTGCTTTTCATTCTAAAAATTTAGACTTACTGCACAACATTAAAACAGTAAACAGCGAAACAAGGCAAGTCAGCAGACTATGAGAAAGTCAACAGCAATCCACAGGTGGCCGAAAAGACAGAAAGGAGGTTGCTAAACTCACCATAAGGTGCTGGGAAGTCCCCTGGACTGGGTCCAGCATAGAAGGTACTGGGTCCAGTGGGCTGGACTGGGTACTGTTGAGGAGGCCCCACATACTGAGGAGCACTGTGACGGTACTGTAGAGTCACACACAACCACCAAATGAGTGAAAATTCAACACGTATATAATTGCAAACAACACATCAACTGGACAAAACTCTGTAATCAAATTTGTACATAAACAACACAACAAACATAGTCTAGTACATTGAAACATCCTGATGTAAACACATGGTCCAGATATAGCAATTGTAATGTGATTCCTGTCAGCAGTCTTGTGCTGTCTGACCTGAGGGATGTAGTACTGCGCTGTCTGTGGGGAATGGAAGGGCATAGGAGCCATGGTCATCATGATGGGCTGATTGGGGGGGTAGACCGCTGCTGTGGGGGTCTGAGATGTGGGCCGAATGGGAGGGTTGTTGCTTGGAATGGTGGACCGCGCCGTTTGCATCTGCGTCCTCTGGAAAAACTGTGAGGAGAGAGATCAGTTATGTGGCTCACCTTTGGAAATGCTGGCAAACTGGTAAGTGTAACATTTCAGCCATGTTGTGTATCTAAGAAGGCATCTGAAGACGTCCACTGAAGAAGTAAACATATTTGTACAACTCTTTATGCAAAAGCATGCAAGAAACAAACAAACAGAGAACACATCATCCTAAGTAACATGCACTTAAAACAATACAGGGGTACTAAGACTTCTGCTACAATGGTTTCATAACAGATCACATCAGGGTGTTTGTGCCTTTTCTTTTCAACTCTGAACACCACCGGTAAACTAAAGCAGCTTCTTTGCTATACTATGAAGAGAAATTTCTATTAATAAATTCCTCAAATAGACCTGTTGACACAAGCATCTCACTCTTGTGACTGTGTACCAATTGCCAGACAACAAAAGTGAATCACTGTTTTTCATCCAAACAACCTGACAACTGACTTCCCACTGAATCAGTGTATTAACTGTTGCGGAAATGTGTGAGCCACAAGGGCCATGTACACACTGCGGCTAAATACGGGTGTCACTCCTATTCTAGGTGCTTAATTATGTTTTGTACACAAAGGTCACACTGTAACATTTTAGGAGGGACAGCCACATTTAAACAATTGTCATTGTGCGTATATGGAAAACAGAAGTCATCCCAGAAAATGCTTGTTCGTTCCATATTGGAATTTTAAGTTTAGCTATTTTTGATTTAAAAAAAAAACATACTACTATTCAAAAGTTTGGGGTCAATAAGAAAAAAAAAAATGTATTCAGCAAATATGACGGGCTAGAGTGAGCAGAGGCGGCGGATTTGACGGAGCGTCCGGTGGGCTTGCAGCAACCACATGTGACGACCCCGGGCTGGACTCCGCTTCGTCCACGGTGAAAACCGATCCGGCGATCCACAGTGCAAAGTTGTAGTATTTGCTCAGCAACCAGTACGGATCAGCTCTAGGCATGACGAAGCGGATATCATCCTCTTTTGGAAGGCCAAACAAAGTAGTTTCGCTTTCACAACGAATCACACAGTGCCTTCACGACATGGCGGTGGCAACCTAGCAAACAGCATCACTGTAAATCATTTGATTAAAACTTAGTAAAACTTTTATTACTGCTTCTCAGGTTTAGATTTTCAGTGCATTTTGAAAAAATATTTGCCTACTATATTTAGTAAATCTAAAAACATTAGTCCTAAATGAAAAACAACCACACACCTCCTCCGAATATCTCAGTTTCCCGAGTGGAGCTGTATTAACCGGTCTTTTCCTCCGGCCGCAGCGCCGCTGGCAGAGGCAGACCAGCGGGGAGATGAGAGTCACAGAGGTACGTTAAAACACATGTATACACTTTTCTTCATCGTCTTGTATGAATTATGTTAATGTTACTTGCTCACTTTCCTAGTAAAGCTGTGCTAACCAGTATTTTCCTCCCGCAGCGCGCTGACAGACCAGCGGGAGACTCGTGAAGACGAAATAAAGCAGTAAGAGAACATTAAATTGTTAGATCAACTTTAAAACACATGTAATCACCATTTGTTTTATACCAATGCTATCTGTAAAGTATAAATACGTTTGGGTGAATAAATGTCTGTAAGAACATCGGATGGACTGTATTTGTGTCATTTTGTTAGGTTAATGCTTCAGCTACAGATGATGTGTTGCGCAATTGTTAATTGGGTTTCTTTCTTTAGTAATGACATTCATTCTCGCTACATAAGATACCTGTCTGTTATGTAGTGCCCTGTTATACTGCATTACTGTGTAATATTTATGGTTTCTATAGCCGTGGCATTATTATGATGGTATGAAGAGATGGATTAATTCATGTTTACATTCAACTTTACAGATCTTCTTTACGCACCAAGAGCTTGTAACACTTCAAAGAGAAAGGAAAAATTGAAATCGCATCATATGAACCCTTTAAGGACAGTCAGCATGCAGCTCTTTGAACACAGACAGTAGCTGTACTATCTGCAGATGCATCATTATTCCTAACTACCGCAGATGATTGGGAGCCAGCAGCTCTACCTACAGAGGCAGCATTTTAAGGCATCATAGGCACACTTCCAATGAAAATGGGGGGGTTATGAAAAATATTTAAATGAAGGAATTCACTGATCTATCTCAGTAAGTACCTGCAGCAGAAGTTTGAAGCACAATGCTTAACAGAAAGCATTAACACTTTCCATTCAAAACCCACAACAGGTGTAGTCAGTTTTACAGATACTGTCCTTTTAGTGGAAGGACTATGAAATTGACAAAACAAGCTGTAATTTAAGAACTTATGTTCTTAGTCTAAATGTAATCATTTGCCTCTTTTTTGACTGCTTTTGAACTAAATTTCCATCCCTAGCCTGAAACTACTTTTAACATAGTTCTGCGGTCCATGACTCTGTGGTCCATCCATTTGACTGAGTTCCTGACAGTCTCAATGCCACATCACATTATTAAGTTAACATTACGAGCTTAGAGATTATTTTAATATCACTCTGCTAAGCGGCTTATTTTTTTTAAAACATAAATTGTAAGGACAAAGTGGGACAGTATCTTCTTCTGACCGGTCTATCATACACAGAGACAATGATGCTTTTTAATGAGAAGACTAAAAGCTGTTTTAATCAAATGATGCTGTCCAGTTTTAGACTACAATCGGCATATTAATGCAATACTCTTTCATCGTTAAATGACTTCATAATTTATTCCTTTTATGTTAAAATATGGTTAATGAAACTTTGGTTCTTGGGCCATGAGTGACAGCTTGTAACTCCAGTTTATGATTCATAAATAATACCTATTTAAACACACCACAAAGTGTCAGGATCTACAGAACCATGAGTCAAAAGTAAAACCACAGTAATGTTTTACATGTGCTGGGCTACAAAAATATAAAGCAGCACAACTATTTTTAACATTGATAATGAGACATGTTTCTTGAGTCAGCATAACATGATTTCTGAAGGATCTTTAGACACTGAAGATTAAAGTAATGGCATTTCGAAATATATACAATAATTTATTTTTAAGTTGCAATAATATTTCACAGTATTACTGTATTTTATTTTATATCAAATAAATGCAGCATTGGTGAGCATAAGAGACTTCCTTCAAAAACATTTTAAAAGTCTTACCTTTTCCCCAACTTTTGAACGATAGTGTTATGTTGCAAATTAACCTGCTAGCAAAGATAACAATTCAGCTCACCAATTTTTTGCTCTTCTAGCACAAGCAGATAAATACTCAACATACAGTGTTATTTGAATATTTTTTTCCGCTGTTGGTACATAATTAATGTCTTGCTAATTTCGAATTGTACTCATCAACCACATGTTTTAATTAAAACAATTTAATTGCATCTTTTTTTAATGGTATTCACGATCATTGGTGCAAGAAAATACCCAGCATGAATAAACACGTCACTAATTTCGCTGAAGACTTTAGCGCTGTCAGAAATCAATGTCTAACAGCTGAAAAGCAGCATGAAAAATCATCCTATAACAGTCACACAGAGTCTCAATGTCTGCATTTTAGCAGTAATGTTTCCTAGAGCATTTCAACATTGCAGAGCAGTGAATCCACCCGTCGACAACCAGCTCCAATAGGAAGCAACCTATGCATATAGAAAGAAACCAGTCAACATGCAAACCTGACAAAATAAAAATACAGCAAGCACTATAAAACCAATCAGACCAACATGAACATATACAGAGGAGAGGTAAACTGAAACGGAGGATTCTGCTGTCTTTGGGTTGGGTAGCTGCAGTGCTGTTGACTGGGAAGGGAAGCATGAAGATGATGTTGAAAGAGAAACAGAGGACTTCATGCCATGCATTTTCCTCAAGACTGCAAATTACCTGAATGGGTCTGAATCCTCCCTTGAATATTGAAGCGGGAAATAGAGAGAAGCTAATGGGACAATGCACTAATTTGTATGGAGGAATAGAGAGAGACTAACACACATACTTAAGGGGAGATCTGCAGTACAGAGCATGCAAAGAGCCCTTCCTTCAGGGAAAGCCATTTAAAAAACAAGAGGGCACTATGCTCTGCTTTTTAGGTAGCTAAATGACATCATATTTGTGGCGGTACACAAGAAATGGGACCTGAAATCTGCTAACCCTCACAGATGCTCACAATGAACTGATAAAATGAGATGGAAGATAAATAGTCTCGAACAGAAACAAGTTCCTGCGACAATATGTAAAGAGACAGAAGTTCAAAGAAAGGTTCAAGAAATTGTGCTGGAAATGCCAATTCAGAATTCAATAAAATATATACTTCTAGAAAAATACAATTAAAACATAAAAAAAACAATAGGAATATTTTTTACGATATGTTGCATAATTCATTGTTTATTTAAAGATTAGTATTACTTAAGGAAAAATCCAAACAAAAAGAAAATTCTTTCATCTGTTCACTCTGAGAAAAAAATGGTACAAAAGCGGTCACTGGGGCGGTACCTTTTTTAAAAAGGTACACTTTTTAAAGAGACAGAAGTTCAAAGAAAGGTTCAAGAAATTGTGCTGGAAATGCCAATTCAGAATTCAATAAAATATATACTTCTAGAAAAATACAATTAAAACATAAAAAAAACAATAGGAATATTTTACGATATGTTGCATAATTCATTGTTTATTTAAAGATTAGTATTACTTAAGGAAAAATCCAAACAAAAAGAAAATTCTTTCATCTGTTCACTCTGAGAAAAAAATGGTACAAAAGCGGTCACTGGGGCGGTACCTTTTTTAAAAAGGTACACTTTTGTACCTTTTAGGTACTAATATGTACACTTTAGGTACTAATATGTACCTTTAAGGTACCAATATGGACTCTTTAGGTACAAAGGTGTGCCTTTTGAAAAGGTACCGCCCCAGTGACAGCTTTTGTACCTTTTTTTCTGAGAGTGTTATAAAGGAGTATAAAAGAAGATATTTCAAGCACTGTCACCTTGTCGCCTCTGGCTTGCTTAGTTGGGGACACTTCATTTCCAGTGTTATCGTTGACATGATTGCAAAGATATTATTTAAACTGAGCTGGATGTTGACATCACTGAATTCAATGATGAACTGTCTTTAACTGAAAAAATGAGTGTTTACTATTGTCATTTTGCATTATTGACACTATTTTCCTAATTAATGCTGTTCAGTTGCTTTGTCACAATCTGTATTGTTAAAAGCGCTATATAAATAAAGGTGACTTGACTTGACTTGACTGTCCATGCTGCTCTGTTTGATACAATTTTTCAAGGTGAGATTTTCGGTCAGTGTTACATTTCAGTCTGTTCCTCATACAAAGTCACTATACAACTTGAATTACAGTAGTATTAACTACTTCAATGATGCTTTTGTTTTGTTCTGTTTTTGGAGTTTGACAGCCTTTGGTCACATCTAAATTGCATGGAAGAAATCAGAGTGAACATACTCCAAAATTTCTCTCTAGGTGATTCATGGAAGAAAGCAAGTCATATAGGATTGGAATGACACGAATATTCATTTTTGGATGAACTATCTCTTTAGAACCATAGCGGGTACTTCAAATAAATAATTTAGGTCATAGTGGGTTATAAAAAAAAGAGAGTTGGATTCCTCGTATTACACAGTGAATGTTCACTTGACACAAGAGAAAAATAACCTTTAGCCTAAATTCTGACCTTAATGTTTACACGGCCTTAAGATTCAGATGTCAATTAAAAGGTCATTACTGTGGAGTTAGGCCACAGAATTATACATCCAATATTTCCCATTGAGCTTCAAAGTTCAATCAAATTATAAACAATTCTAAACGGCATATGCTGGTAAACAGTGTGTTCCCAGACATTTATTTTATTATTATGTGTTTTCTGTCTGTGTGTCAAAACTGCTTAAAGAGCCAGAAAGGGTGATCCCTGAATGTATTAGGTCATGTAGCTAGTCAAGCTTACAATGGACCACATACAGACAAGATCACCTACAGTATCTACAGCTGGCTATTACTTCTGAACAAAAGGATTCATTTCGTTTGAGCTACAGTTTAAGCTCACAGTAGCAAACACACCCTCTAATAAACTAAGCACACTACAAGACTGAAATTTGTTGCCAGTTCATGTTTTAAAAGTACAGTTCACTCTTTTTTATTAATCCATGTAATTTAAAACCTGTATGATTTTCTTTCTTCTTTGATAGATTATCGCATCTGTCTCGGTCTCAGACAAAATGCTGTCTGATTAAATGGATTGGGCGAGATACTGCCAAAAATCACTCTGTGGAATCAATATAAAAATGTAAAATTCAGCAAAAAGTCACAATGCATGACCATGATGGATAATCATTTTCACGATCAATTATTAGTGTCACTTATGAGTCATTAAAGAAAGTGCTCTCAAAAAGTTACATTTTGCCATTATTTAATCACTGTCATGTAATTTCAAACCAGTATGAATTGCTTCCTTTTATGAAACACAAAATAAGACATTTTGAAGAATGCTGGGGTCTAAGGGTGTGCTTATACTTGTAGTTCAATTCTCTTGGTTCATTTGGTCCAAAGAAAATGATACATTGAGTCCTGGTTCACTTAAGGTCAAACTATACCTCGGTTTTTACGCGTACGCGAGGGGCCGCGTACAATGTGCGTGAAGCAAATTTCATCACCAGAATAGTACTATTACTATCAGTACTAATAGTACCACGCTAGTGGTCGACCGATATTGTTTTTTTGACAGCCGATGGCCTATATATAGAAAGATTAGGGGTTATAGAGTTGTAAATATGGATATTTTTCATACACAATCGCATCGATTGGTTTCAGAAAGCCTTCATCAACCCCTCGGAGCCATGTGAAGCACTTTTTATGATGGATGGATGCCCTTTATTTTGCTTCAAAATCTCAACCCCCATTCACTGCCATTATAAAGCTTGGAAGAGCCAGGACATTTTTTTATATAACTCCGATTGTATTCGTTTGAAAGAAGAAAGTCTTATACACCTAGGATGGCTTGAGGGCGAGTAATTCATGGGGCAATTTTAATTTTTGGGTGAACTATCCCACACTATTTTCATATTGGGTTTGTTAGTAAACAGCCACTGTTATGATTGGCTAACATAATTGCATGAGAAAAAGTATTAACGCCCCCTCACTATTGCACATAAGTGTTTTTAAAACTATCAATATAAAACCGCCATTTGCAGACAGAGCATTATAGAACTGTCTACTTTTGTTGTTTGTAATAAATCTTAATTAAAATGCAAAAAAAAAAAAATAAAGCACCATTTCAGTGGGGTCTTGAAATCAAAAAATTTGGGAACCACTGCCATAGTGAACAGTTTTAGGGCCCGTGACAACATTTCTCGCTCCTAAATGTATTGGAGCTGTAAACAATCTCTCCAAATTATCGCAATGAACAGGATCAATGTGTTATGTTAGTCTAAGAAAGCTTATGAGGTGTGAGAAAGGAGGCCATGCATTTGCGTACATTACCTGGTGATGGGTAGGACGAGGCCCAGGGGCAAACTGATTGAAGGCAAAGTGTGGCATGGCAGAGGGGGAGAATCAGAGAGAGAGAAAGAAGCAAGAGGTAAGAATGATCACCCACAAACACATAAACCACAAACTGTGCATGGCATATGTAGTGCACTTCCTGAGAGGAAGCAATGTCGCAAGGCATGTTATATGTACCCTATATACACAGCACCTACTAATGACCACAAACCACACCATAAACAACAGCATTTCTAACAGAAAGGAAGCATTTCTAACAGAAGTCTGATCTTAAAAGATGACATGGAATTACAGGCACTCACCGGGCGGCTCTGAGGCTGTGCGTTCATTGGCTGGGTTGGTGAAGAGTAGACCAGAGGGGTCGTGCCGGCATTCTGCCCTGGTGTGTACGGAGACTGCAGAGTCACGAGGTCCCAGAGAGGTCGAGGAGGAATGACCACCGGCAGAGAAAGAGAAACAGCTAGTTAGGATGGATGTGAATATTACCTCTCTCTAATAAAATCCCTACAGCTGAGTGAGCGTGTGCTCCATGTGTGTGGGTGACAGAGTGAGTGTGTCCACTCCCTGCTGCTGCAAACACTGCGGTCTGCTGACACTGACAAATCTGCCATCTCCTCAACGCTGCCTTCAAAGCAGAGAAAGGGAGAGAGAAATAGAGGCGTAGTCCTCAGCAGATGTGAGCGGGCACAAACGAAAATTTGTGTGCCACTGGGTTTGAGATAAATTGAACTATATAGAATGACAGAACAGTTGCTTTCATTCAAAGCAACTTGCAGTACATTTATTTCGCCGTCAGTCTACCTTGCTCAAGGGGAAGAATGGTGATGGCTTGAGAGTTGTCCAGTGGGGGGTTTAAACCTAAAACCTTTTGATTTTCCTCAAAGGATTCAAAAATGATTGGCCAAAAGCAATATATATATATATAGTGGATTTTTTTAATAGATTTATTTTTGACATTTTTGCCTTTTACATAGGACAGTATGTAGACACGAAGCGAAGAGGGAAATAGAGGGGGACAGGATCAGGAAGAATTTAACATGCTCAAAGTAAAATCAGGCAACACAACATTCACTTTTATCTATGCAATTGGTAGACGGTTTTTCCAAAGTGACTTGCATTGCATTCAAGCTATTCATTTTATCAGTTGATGCATTGCAGCACCGCACTGACAGCATGACCAAATCAGCAAATTAGAATGATTTCTGATTGGATTCTGATACATTTTCAAAATTTTTATAAATTTTGCATATGCATAACTCTATAAGTTTCTTTAATTGTACTTATTGGAATGTTTAATTTCACTGAATTATTTGGTGGATTTACCAACCAACATGGGAGTCTGTGAGTGTTTTAACTGATTCATGAAAAGAGTCAGCTGAGACGAGTCATTCATTCATAAATCAGACTACACTGATCAAGCTGTGTCTTTGTTTTTGCATGCAGCCAGAACAATTTTGATTGTATTCAGTGATTCATTGATTGCATCATAACAAGATTTAATGCAAAGAGTCTTTTATTCCACCTTTTGAGTGCTGCATGTTCATTTTTCGATACCCAGTTACAAAACCTGTTAACAGTAACCAGACCTCAAACCACTACATAGCAGCCGATATATCTCTATCCACCTCTGACATCCACAAACCTCACTGATTCTTCCTCTGCATTCACATGCACAGGTTTTGATAGAGGAAAGGGTAGATGCGTAATTAAGGTTTAGCCTTTGGAGCACTCTTAGCCTATTAATAGGCAGTTGCGCTGGCAGTGTGGTGCAGGCGTAGAGTGGGAATGTGAGCCCTGATCTCAGACAGATAACAAGCTTGAGAACAGCTGAGTCACCCTGACAGACTTTCTATTCCTGTGGCAGAGTCAGCCGGGCACAGTGTGCATGTGCGTGAGTGACTGTGTGTGTGTTTGCATGACAAGGCACGAGTTCGGCGGACCTCTATACACCCACGGACACTGGTAATGGGCATACTTACACAATGACACACGTAAAATCTTCCCTGCAGGCTAATTATGATAGAGAACATCCGGCACACCCAGATATGCCAAGTCTCTATCAAATATTAATACAGAATACAGACCACTGCAAAGCACTTCACAGCAGAGAGAGGAGTCTAGCGAACTGGTACGACTATACGTCAAGCATCTTCTTAGTTTGCTAGCTTTATTTAATCATCACAGTAAGACGAACTGCTTTCTGTTTGACAGCCGGCACAGCAGGTTCCAAAAGATTATGCAAACTTACAATCCTATCTGCTCAGGTCTCAAACAGATATTTGCTGAGTGCAAAAACGCGATCAAATCCATCTTAACTCAAGCGAGCACACTAGGCTTTACATCCAGTCTAAGAAATCAGTGTTAGTACAGATCAGAAATGATTTACCACAGAAATCATTTATATCATGTGTGTCATAGGAAATCTTTGGCACCTGCATCCAATTATGTGAAATACCTTCCATCTGACCTCTAAAGACCCTCTATCTGTGTGTAATGTATCTGTGAGAAACAAGACAACCAAACACTGATGTGCCGATTAATGGTGGCAGGCATTAGGGCTGACCAATATAGCTAAAAATTTTATATTTTGTTCCTCAGTATTTTGAGCCTTTTGACAATATTCATTACATATCACAACAGCTATGCATTTACTTTTTCATGTAGTATTTTTGGTGGAATGGACTTTCAATGGAAGTAAAGAAATCTCTCAGGTTTCATTAAAAACATGTGTTTCGAAGATGAATGAAAGTCTTATGGGATGACATGAGGGTGAGTAAATTATGTCAAAATTTTCATTTTTGAGTGAACTCTCTCTTTAAAAACTGTCAAATTAAAATTGCAATAAAATCTCTGCAGTGGTTACAATGTTGCTTACTTTTATTTATGCTATAATAATTAGAGGCCGACCGATAGTGGACTTTGCCGATACGATAGCTAGGTTGGACCACACTGGCCGATACCGATTCATTAACCGAGTTTTAAAATTGATACTGAACAAAAACTAAAATAGTGTTTTATTAACAAAAACAGTACTGAACCATACTAGTAGTAAAAAAAATAAAAAATAATAGTAATAGTAAATGTTGAAATGAACACACTCTAACAAGGAACAATACTTACACAGCTTTCATTAATATTAATGCTACAAATGGACTCTTATTTTAAAGTGTTACCATTTCATTTAAACTGTCATGCTTAAAGATGCACATCTTTAAATATATACACAAAGGCTATAGCATTGAAATGATATACATATGGATATTGTATGTATACCCTCACACTTTAACTGCTTCTATTCTTGAACACTTGATGATTATCTAATCAAAATAAAAGCGCAGCACTGAGTCTAGGAGAACTCACCGGTATCACACACACTCCGGACGCGTCGCGTTCAACTTGAGCAGCGGTCTAAAACAGTTTATTTAATCACCAAACGGACACAAGTTTACTTCAAGAATGAACAATTTGGCATGGATGAGTTTGAAGTTCGGTGTTTAGAAAACGGAGCAAACGGAAAGAGAAAGCGCGACCTATATTATAGCTCTATAAATGAAGCACACAGACTTTATTAGAGCCACAGAAAGACAAACGTTTTGCTGAAAATGCACAATACACAATTCATTATGTACATTAACAACGATTCGGGACCAATATAATGTAATTTAAAGGAAAACTATGTGAATGGCGCTCTGTGGCG